CGCACTCTTCACTCGCACGTGGCACTCTTCTTTGCGGGGATGCACTTTCATTCTTTGTACTGCCTTCAAATACGCCCTTCTCATGAAGGTGGAGGAATGGAGCGACTGAACCTGCAAAGAAAATTTAATATCATGTTTTTTTCGGATGTTTTCATTTTCTGCTGCGCTATACCCTATTACCTATCTGCACCATGATACCACTTCTGTTACTGACCCCCAAGAGTACGACCCCCCATGGACCAGCCCAACAGGTACGACCCCCCTGTCGAGGATTTCCTCGACCGATATTCACCCTGCTTCGACCCCTTCCAGCGCATTTTAGAGGTAGGTTTTGAAATTAAAGACATTTCCTATAAACTTTAGTTGGGCTGGGGCATGTTTTGACCGCCTAATGACCAAGTAGTTGAAACCCTGCCTGGACTGTTGCTTGATTCTCCACCAAAATAAGCATGGTCGTAGATAAGCAAAGCCCTGCTACCCATCGGTCCAAAAAGCTTGCAAAGGATTTAAATGAAAAAGTCAAAGAAATGATCAGAAATGACGAGGTGCCTGTCAAAGAGCAATTAGAACGGGAGGAGCAAAAGAAGGGTCAGAACTAGTCACTTAGGAATGGACAGCGGCTATGACACAACTCTTTCTTTGTTTATTTCCTCCACAAGACTTACCAAATTCTAGTACTACACAGATTATGGTTCTCAATTTACACGTCCCCCTTTCGCTCAAAGGAAGCCTTGTAAAAGCCTTCGCCAGCTGTGTGTTGACTGGACTTTGGCGTTGACCGTGGAGCAGCTTATTTACTATTGAAATTTGAACAAATATTCAAATGATTATAACTTTCTTCAAAGTTAACGAATTTTCAATCTGAAAGCTGATTTGGGAGTTTTGTGAAGAGCTTTTTCTAATCAGTACTGAAATTACAGGAAGTTATAAGAAATAACAAATTTAGATCAAATAACGAGGAAAATTCGAGACGAGCACGAGTTTTTACACTTTCCGGAGCAATAACTTGCTTCATTTCCGTCAAATTCAAAAAGTTGATACGTCATACAAAACTAGAAGATTTTCTCTATCAAACCATCCCCGGCTCGCATGACCAGCAGCTTCATACGTCCAGTACTCAAAAAATGGCCACGTTGAGGATTTTTGCAAAATTAACGAGGAAAATTCGTGATGAGTGCGAGTTTTTACGCTTTCCAAAGCCATAACTCCGTTCAAACTCATGCAATCTGGAAAGTTAATACGTCATCATAAACTAGAAGATTTGCTCTTTCTAAGGCAACTAAAACTGCTAAATACGTTCACTATTTAAAAAATGGCCACGTTGAGGATTTTTGCCCGAGTACCGCCGAAAGGTACTTTTTCGCTACATTAGCACTATTTCAACGACTATAGCTCCTTTCAGGGGCGATTACATACTGAAGTAGGAGCAGATTCGAAATCCTCGTGCTTTTCTCTTTCAAAAAGTGTAAAATTGTTTAGCGGGTCTCAACTTTAAAGGTTACATGCTTGTGAATTTGACGCTGAAGGCTGCGTTTCTTGTTGAATAGTGTACTCCTCTCTGTAATTTAACATGAACCTTTCAGAACCTCTTGATTCTTCCTGAATTAAGATTCGTTATCAAGATAGCCGTAGCTGAAGCGCGCGCAACCAACTGGGCCCACTCTGGGATGCGCCGTGTGCTTCACATCTCGTTGGATTTGAGGACCTACTTGAAAGATAAAATATCCCTAGAAAACGTGCGAATTTCGGATTCTTTAACTTGTGTGGTGATAAACACTGAAGTCACTAAGAATTGCTAAGCGGACACCTCTAAATCACGAAGATTTTGTGTGGACGGAATCAATTGTTATTGGAAATACTCTGGCCTGGTATCGATTCGATCCTTAATGTTTGTCCTCCGACGATGATCCTACTGTATCAATCGGGCCCGATCTCTCCCCAGCGGGCCAATACGACCCCCCCCCTCTGTGACATGTCGAGGATTCCTCAACGCACGCTTGACCCTGGTGGACACCCTAAAGTCGATTCTCAGTTGGCAGCTAAAAACGTTTTCTGCCATGAAACCTTCACCATTCAACTCCTCGTGGTCGATAACCTACAATGACATTTCGGCAAAAGATTTCGTTCTAGTTTAGCGAACTATTTTTCATGGAAATTTTTTCTTTGTATCAAAATTATGTGGACACCCTGAGGCAGATGAAGTTTTTGCATAATTTCCTAACCTATTTTTACTTTTTCCTTTCGTTACTTATTCTGGCATTATTCCTCTTCACAACAGGCATTTTTCTAAAGAGGACCAAGCAGAGATGTGGGGTCCTTATGTTGCTAGACATTCCATTTGCGAAATCACAACCTGGTATCCAGAATCCTGATGCTAGAGTCTCAACACTGATTGGGGTCGTCTTCAATCGTTTTTTGCTCAAAACATCACGAGAGTAGCCTATGCTGTCTCAAAATTTCTTTGGTCTGCTATCCGCGTTCGCGCTTAAATGCTTCCCTTGCTTAAGCACTTCCCTCTTCTAAATATACCACTTGGTGTTCCATTCAATCGAGTGAGCACACGACACGAGAGAAGATGAAGAAAGCTTTGTGTATGGATGCGCAGCACAGATTGGCAAGGCTGGAATTCCCGTTCAAAAATAAAATCACAACATGGGACGTTGAACCCGGACAGACAGCGCTTTTGTGAAAATAAAATAAGAATAAAAGACGCTCTGTGGAAAATCGTTTCTTAACCTTGACTGGTGAGAAAATGCTTATCTTTCGCTATTCGGGTGGATCTCGTTGCTAATGGAGGGACCTTCGTCGTGACCCGCAGCTGTACTCAGAAAATTTCGGAGGAGGCTCATCAATTGTCTGGGGTGGTTTCAAAAGAAGCGGAAAATTGGAGATTGGCTTGCCAGCATGTCAGGTAGACAATCAGGATTATAATGAGGTGCTTGGATCCCGACTTATACCTTTTTCGAGAAGCCAGGTCACAAAACACTTGTTTTGCAGCAAGCCCAAGAGGGTCCCCTACACGTATTCCATTTGGAAAGAGGCAAACGCGAGGGTTCCGGGTGCTGGATTGGCTGGCGTATTCCTCAGACCACATCGTTATTGAAAACGTAGGGGATTGTGTTCACTGCTTCTGCGCTTAAAAAAAGGTAGTACCCCAAGTGACCTGACAAGTTGCTGAAATTAGCTGCTTTGGAAGAGTTCGACGAAACAGGTATCGGGAGCCTGGTTCAGAACATGCCGAACAAAATGTTTGAACCTTATCAGAATCTTTGGTAGGCCTACCAGTCTTTGATTCTAAAGATATTTCTGTTTTTCGAAAAGTGTCCACATACTTTTGATACAGGGAAAGCAGGGGAAAGTTTTTCCATTAATTAAAAAAATTAAAGCTGCATGTAAAACGGTGAGCAATGAGAAAATCTAAGGTTTTCATATCGAAATCGAATGGTGGCGATCTCATGGTGCAGAAGTCAACAGTTTCTCAGAGAAGGAAAAATTCTAGAGTGTCCACATACTTTTGGTGCGCACTGTATAATATAATAGTATGATATGCATGTTACCACAGAGAACCAGTAACCACAGATGTGGGGCGGAGATCGTAAAATTTTTGAAGGTGCCTAGGCGCTACGGTTGTGCTGACCTGATCCGCCAATGAATACCGTTGAGTCCCACCTATTCCACAAAACGGTATGAGTGCGAATGTGAAGCCGATAACGACGCTGACGTTGAGCAAGCCTGACAAGTCCAACCATTGTACTTCTCCATTCAGCTGAAATAAGATTGGGCGTCTCAAAGCACATCTCGTACACATCCATTTTTCGCTTGTCTTGTTTAACACATTGACGGCAATGGAAGCTCTTGCACGTTTCACTTTGCAGTCCAAGTCTGGCATTGAGACGCGTTTGTGTGTTTCAACCTTTCTCTCTATTTTTCCAGCGCATCTGTGCGGCTTCTTAAGAGCATGCTTGCTTTTATTCTACATACACAGATATACACAGATACATTATCACATGACTGCAAACGACATGGTTAACCATATGGTCAAATATGCTCCAGTTTAGCAGAAGTTTTCCAAGCTCAGCGAATTGGCAGCTCGGTTCATTCCTCGTTTTCTCCTATTCTCATGCATATGTCAATAAAGAGTCGCAGAAGTAAATACAAACCTATATGGCACAATGTATGTTTTCGCGGTAAAACCAAGTCAAAAGTAATTTTCCATCCATTACAGACAAAACGAGTAA